TCCTCTTTTCTAAACTGAAAAGTCCCAGTCTCTCTTTAGCCTCTCTTCATATGGGACCTGTTCCAAACCTCTGATAATTTTAGTTGCCCTCCCCTCTTCCACCCTCTCTCTTCCCCTCTCCCCCCTCCTTTTCCCAGTCTCCCCGAGTTTTGTTCAATAAAGAGAGATTCTATTTTTGACCACACGTTTTCTTTATTTTGTACATCAGGAAGGGGGGTTAGGGAAGGGGAAGTGGAAGGAGGTGAGGGAGGAATGGGGTACGAGCCCCTGATGGGGAGGACTGGGCTGGGTCTGCAGGCTTCGGGGGGTGGAAGCTCTCCTGCAGCCCCCCAATTGCCCTCTCTCCCCAGAGGGCAGCCTGCGGCAAGGGCAGCCGGTCTGATGGCCGAGTGCTGTGATGTGCCCAGTGGGGGCACTCAGGGCACTCCAAGCCAGGACTGCTTTGCAAGCGGGGCACCCCTGAGAACTGCCTGTCCGGGGTGGGGGTCGGGTCCCTTTAAGCGCAGCCCTCGGCTAGCCTGAGACAGCATCTCCACGCTCTAAGTCCTCCTCTGATGCCCTGCCGGCACTGCTTCTGGCCATCCTTAAGCCCGGTTCAGGGTCCACTCAATGTGGACATGCTAGTTCGAATTAGCGCTGTAGTGTAGACATACCCTTACTGACTAATTGAATAGTCATCGACTAATCAGATAGTGCATTGACTATTCAATTAGCCAATTTATAGAAATTTTATATCCCTAAACGGGGTCACCAGGGTTACATTAGACTTGCATGACCCAGGAAAAAAGCCCAAGCCTCACCACCACAGTTAAAGCTGAAATCGAAGAGCTTCAGTCTTGTCCCTTACAGGCCCTTGAAAGCCAGCTTCCTGCATGTACCAGCTCCTGCCTATCCCCCTCGCTCCTTGCACTGCTGCTTGGAGGGGAGGGGGGGCGGTGGGGCAGGCAGTTCCATGGCAGCTAGAGCTCGTGGAAGGTAACTTTTAAGATTACTTCCCCCGAGCACTGGCTCCCGCATGTGCCCCTCTCTGTGCTGCTGCCTCTGTGGGAGAGAACAGGGGAAGCAGGGAGAGGATGCTTCGTGAAAGCCAGTATGTGCAGGGAGCAGCCTTAAAAACCAGCTCCTTCCTCCCCCTGTATCAGAGGCAGGAAGCGGCGGGGAGGGGGGAGGGTATTAATTGGTTAATCATGTAAATGACTACTCGCTAACATTCTTAATTCTCAGAAGAGGGTTGCAGTGCAATGAAATCTGAAGATCCCATGTTCTGTAAACATCTAACAGCATTTTTAGAGTCTGATGGTCTCACTGAGATGGAAGTGAACATACGCTGTAATAACGTATGAATACAGTATATTGATGTGCTTATTGAGATGTTCAGTGTATGCATTTATTGGTTTCGTTTAATAAGGGTGTGTCTAGACTCCAGGTTTTTTTCAGAAAAACAGCCATTTTTCTGAAAAAACTTCACTTACGTCCACACTGCTTTTGCGTTCTTTCGAAAGAAAATCGAAGGAACAGAGGGGTTTTTCCAACATTGGTAAACCTCATTCTTCGGGGAAGTACACCTTTTCCAAAAGAGCTCTTTCACAGAAAGGCATGAGTGGATGGGGAAGAGGGAGTTCTTTCGAAAAAAGAGGAAAGAGGAAAAAGCACAGGTGCCCTGATGTCCACTCCATTCATAGCAATCACAGCTTAAATGCGAAATAGCATCCATTCAGTGTGGACGCTATCTTTCAAAAAAGCAGATTGCTTTTTCAATGTGCTTTGGCAGTGTGGATGCTCTCTTTCAGAAGACGTTTTTTCAGAAGACCTCTTCTGGAAGAGCTTCTTCCGAAAGAAGCCTGCAGTCTAGAAGCACCCTAAGAGTTGTAAGGAAAAACAAGCAGAGAGCAAAAAAAATTAGATACGCCGCACCTAAAGAAACGCTGAAGAGTTGCTAACAGAGAATATGAGGATAAAAAAAGGCCTGGAAACCAGAAGATCAAAAGGAGAATATCATTTTAAATAGGAATACTCTCTCAAGAGGAGCTGTTCTTTGGAGGGACTATATGGACCCAGCTAGGGTATCTGAAAAACTAGGTCACTGTCACAGGATGGTAGGACTTTTGGTAAAATAAGCATGCTTATGGTCTATTGCTTTAAAATCCTATTTCTCTAATACTTTGGTTTAAGTGGTTGTTGGGTCATTATGTACCCAGACTCCTGAAGGGAAAAATCACTAGAGGGGTCTTTAGTCAGACCTGCTGGGTAAACACAGTTGATACAGAAGGTGCTATACCACAGGGCGCAGTCTAAGAGTGGAATAACCTGCCCTCCGGGTAGATAAAGGCACAACGCCTGACTCCTGAGGGAATACATTCACTGAGACCAGAAAGGGAACAGAGCTGCAGCTAAACCGGAAACCATGACACTCACCAGCAGGCAATGTGTACTTATTGTGATTTTCCATGAATAGACAATATGTGGTGAACTAAATGAAACAACAGGCAAAAAACATTCCATAAAAATACTTAATGATGTGTGTTTATTATGAGAGTGTGATATCCAGCAGTGGGAAACTCTAGCAGCCAGACATACAAATTGACAGGGAACGGTAAATAATGAGCTATTTGACCATTGCCAACAATGTGACCACAAAACAAAAACACATTTAAATCTACAACCGGAGTTGCATCCAATTTAGTATCCTCACAACAGTGGCAAGTCGCATACATCCAAAATTGTACTCTGCTGTGGCTAGGCCACAAAATACATAGTCTCTGGTTATAAAATGACTGATGTTGGATGAGGAGAGGAAGGATGGTCCTATGATTAGGGCGCTAGTATGGGACATTACAGAACTGGATTTATTCCCTGGCTATAACTTGCCTAAGGTCACACAAAAAGTCTGTGGCACTTAAGCCTTTGTGCCTCAGGTTGCCAGCTGTAAAGTGTGGATAATAGAGTGCTGTTACCCAACAGGAGTATTGTGAAGATAAATCCACTAACAAGTGTGAGGTGCTCAGATACTACAAAGATAGTTGGATGTCTGGTCTTGGTTTCCCTAGGCTCTGGACTTCCAAAATTGATTTATTTTCAGTTAAAAATGCCATAGTGCTTGGAAGATTATTTGATTTCTGCACTTAAAAGACCTTATATAAATTTATCATGGCGACCTACTGCACTCCCTGTAAGATACTACTTTTTTCCCTCAGTTGTCTGCTCAGAGCAGATTGCCAATTTAGCATAAAACTCCCGAACTGGCTGGGCTCAAAAGGACAGAAACTCAGAAAACTGATCTCTGTCTGGTACTTATGTCCTGTATGTTCTGACCACAAAAAAATTAGAGAGAGAGAAAAAGAGGTATTAAAGTAATACAATTTAAAACTAAAAATAGACAAGTGGATTAGGAGGAGCTGAGTAAAGTGCTAGGGACAGGTCTGCCACATTTTTGCCTGTGTTCTCATTATGTGAATCAGTAAATTTCCTAAGAATTTTATAAGGCCAGATTCTGCCTTTATCTGCACACATTAGCTTTCATTGACACACGTGGGATTTGTGTGTTAATGTATGAGGGCAGAATATGATCCAGGCTGTTGAGGATTTTATTACTCTTGTCAGTCCCTAGCAGAAGTACATTTTTTCTGCAAAGGAATTCCAAATGCTGCAGATATGCTCCTGTCAGGTTATCTAAGGATCTTTATTGTCCATAATTATCTCAAATTTGTTCTTGTAAATGACAATTGGTGTCTAGAGCAGTTTATTTGATCATTTCTCATGTCATTTCTCATCAGGAGCAGGGGCAGTGTTTTTTATCTAAGTGGCCACAAAGGAACCTGTACTTACAACAGTGTTTGCATCTTATATGTACTTCATCAATCAGCTGGAGAACCTTAGCTCAAGCTTCTTTGGAAGATAAGTGCAGTAGTGCTGCATGGATCTTTTTATGCTTGACTTGCATGGGTTCCATGAACCATATATATGGCTTTCAGGGCTTGGCAGTAATGAGTGTGGCAAAACCCTTCCTTTGAAGGTAACTAAGACCATCAGCCCAGTACTGTGCAAGTTGTGTGGAGCTGGGCTGAAGATGTCCACCCACCCTGCTTACTATCCTCCAGGGCAGCCTCTACTCTGCAGTCTCATCCCAAACCCTGTATTTGTTATGAAATATCTTCTGGAGGCTGGTTGGGGTCTGTCAGCTATATCCTGGAGTCAGGTGGCCCCCCTCCTCTAGACTGTCACAATGACTATCATGTTATGAAGATTTCTGTGATGTACTCTGGGGGTTGTTTTGTTTTGGCACTATGTATGGATAGAGCTGAGATTCTAGTTTTGTACCATGAGTTATTTTCCAATGTGGCCTCTTTCACTATGAGGGGTCCTGCAAGCAGATTCAGGTTGAACCTCGCTAGTCAGGCATGCTCAGCACCTGACCGGCGCCAAACTAGAGAATCTGCCAAGCCATGGGAGGTAAATGTAGTCTAGTAGCATTACCAAAATTAGAGCTAAATAACAGCACAAAACACTGAGAGCTAAGACTGGTGGTTGTAAACAAAGTTTATGGGACCACAGGAAACTTATCCACTTTTCATGGCTGTGGCCATCTGGCTAACTAAAATTATGCTGGACTACGGATGTTGACAGACCAGACAGTGCCAGACTATAGCGGTTCAACCTGTAGTTTGTAAAGCTATGCTTACAATTTCAGACATGGTCTGGTGTGCACCATTTCAATAGAATTTTGAAACCATCCTGCATTAGTGGACTGAGAATCCTATGCAAACATCTTGCTCGGTGTGAATGTGGTTTTTTTTCTGTTGAAGGAGGCTTTTGAAACAATTACTTTCCATACACACTAAGCTCCTTTAAGCAAGAACTGCCTCTAAGAAATGTTGTTTCATAGTCCGTTCTTTTGCTGTCTGTGTGTAGTGGTGGGTGGAGGGTTTTTTGAATAGCTTTGTTCTGAACTATCTGAAAATGTTGCATAAATTCACTAAATTTGTGGTTTTTTCCTCCAACAGGCACTAATATGGTTAATGCAGGAGACATGAATGGTTCTGGCAATCTGATGGATTTCCTGGATGAGCCTTTCCCTGATGTTGGGACGTATGAGGACTTCCACACCATTGACTGGTTAAGAGAGAAATCACGTGACACTGACAGACATAGGAAGGTAAATCAAACCCAAGTTGCCAACTATGATCTTTTATTTCAAAAGGACTGTCTGAATGACTCTAGTGCTTAAATTTGGAGGAGGGTTGGAATTTTTTCAACTCAACTATACCAAAGCTATCAGAAATTTGTATCCCACATAAAGGGAAGAAATTTGTAGAGAGAGGCAGTAGACCCACCTGGATAAATAATCACCTCAAAAAGATCATTCGGAGTAAGCAAAGAGCCTAAAAGGAATTGAAAAAGGTGTTAGTCAACAAAGAAGCTATACTATGAAAGTCAGAAAATATCAGAATAAAACGAGAATTGTTAGAAGTCAAGCTCTTGCCAAGGAAATTAAAATAAATAATGAAGGGCGCGGGGTTGTTATGTAACTAGAAATAGAATAAGGAAGGTTGAGGCTGGGGCACTATGAGAATGAGATGAAAGATAATATAGGTATGACCTCAAAAGTAAATGTACAATTTTTCTTGGTTTCAATAAAGATAATCATATGGAACACATATAAAGGCAGTATATCTAATAGAAAATGAGTTTTAAAAATGGAAATGAAGTGGAAGAAAAAGAGCTTAATGCAGCCAAATCAGACAATTTCTACCTAAGAATACTGTAAGAACCAGCACATGAGATTGCTAGTCCAGTTGCAGGGATTTGTAATAATTTGATCTTTTCGGAGTCGTATCATATAATGGGAGACCTGGCCTGCTGACAGGGTGAGGTAGGAGCAAGGGGGCACCAGGTGATTCAAAAGGGCTGCAGCAGCAGCAGCCAAAGCCGCAGGGCCTTTAAATCATTGATGATGCACCATGCATCTTCCCTTCCTCCGCAGCCCTCAGACAGCACAGAGCATGTCGTGGTCCTGGCAGCTCTAAAGGCTGCCGGCTTCCAGCCCTGCCCTTTCCCTCTGAGGCCCTGCCCCTTCAGGGAGCGCAGAACTTCTGCCCCTTGCCTAGTGATTCAGTGAGGCTGTTGGCATCCATCCCTAGAAGGTCATTGGGGGATTTGCTCAAGAACTTCATCTGCAACTGTGGAATTACAATTAAGAAGATCTTCAAAATGGTCTTTCCAGTGAAAATTAATGGCTTCATTGTCCTTCAAAAGTGGTTCCATCCTCTGAGTGAAGGGGGTTCATGCCATAATTAATTTTTAATTAATGGAGATTGCCTATCTCCTAGAACTGGAAGGGACCTTGAAAGGTCATTGAGTCCAGTCCCCAGCCGGACCAAGTACCATCCCTGACAAATTTTTGCCCCAAATCCCTAAATGGCCTCTGCAAGGATTGAACTCACAACCCTGGGTTTAGCAGGCCAATGCTCAAACCACTGAGCTATCTCCCCCTGTTCTGCCATCATGAGCTGGCCCATAAACAGCCTTAATAGCACTAAAGTAACCATGTGTATTATGAGTATCCACAAGATGTTGCATTTCTTCTGCTTTGTCAGTCCATCATTTGTTCTTGAGTTCTCTGGTTTTACTTAGGACTTCCACCTTTGCCTTAGCATGGGCTTCTCTCTTTGTATGGCAGTGTATATCATTCTGCCAAGCACAAAAATGCCTGATCGTTACTGATCTGCCTGAGTTCAATATCATTCTCATCAAACCAGTCCTGATGCTGTCTGGTGTAGTAGTCAATGGTCTCCTCACAGGTATTGATGAATACTGCTATCAGCTGGTTCCAATGTTAATCAATTTTTCTGGAAACTCTGATGGAAACTTTTCTTCTAAGACAGTTTGAAAGTGGTCACACTTAATGGGGTCCTTTTGATCTTGTACCTTCAGCTTGCTCCTGATCTGCTTCTTTTGTGACCTCCATTTGGGGGCGATCCTAATTTTCACCGTGGGTCAATGAGGCAATGATTAGTCCAGCAGTCATCAGCACATCCCTGCGATCTCGAGCACAAACTATGACATAGTCGAGAAGGTGCCAGTGGTTTGAACCTGGGTGTCTCCAAGATGTTTTGAATTTGTCCTTTGGTCTAAAAAGGGTGTTTGTGATGATAAGTTCATGTGGAGCACACTTCGCCAGGAGCGGGATTCCATTTGAGTTGCCTTTGCCAGCTCCTTCTTTTCCAATTGTTTCCTTCCACAGGTCTGAGTCTCATCCAATGCATGCATTGAGATCCCCCAGAAGAGTGATCTTCCCTTCTTTAGGGGTCTCGGATAAATTGGTTTCCATCTGAGAGCAGAAGTATTTCTTTACATCCTCATCGGCGTCCATTACTGGCACATATGTTATCACTTAATCCTAACCTCTTCCTCGTCCATACATGCCTTTTTCCAAAAGTGTTCTTTCAGAAAAAGGATTCTTCTCAAAAAGAGGTTTACCAATGTTGGAAAAACCCCTCTGTTCTTTTGATTTTTTTTTTTCAAAAACACAATTGTAGTGTGGAGGTAATTGAAGTTTTTTTCAGAAAAAACACTGTTTTTTCCGAAAAAAACCCTCTGTAGTGTAGACATACCCCCACAGAGGCACCTTACAAGCTTGTACTTAATAGCAAAGCCTACTCCATACAAATGAGATTCATCTAAAGATTTTCCTTTCCAGAAGTAGGTGTATCCTCTTTTCTTCTCCCTCACCTATCCTTCATCAGCTCTTCTAATTTTGAACAAGGCAGCAATATCGATATTATACCAATTCAATTCACAAGCAATGATAGCTGTACATAGCTCTGGTTGGTCGCTGTCTGAGTTGTCCATCAGAATAGGTGCGTTCCTGGTTCCAAAGTTGAAAAGTTTCTTACCTTTCCAACCGTTGTGGTGGTAATCCTGCTGGATGTGGCTATCCAGCCAGAAGGAAAAGAGGCAAGACTATTTTTAGGGCACTTTTTCTAGCCTGCTTCCCATGTGGGGTGAGCAGAGTGGGACATAAAGAGGACTGCTCAGTCATGGGGGCAGCAGCCAAGATGCTCAACCTGCCACAGTTCTCGAGCAAGATGACTGAATCACACACCCATCACCTATGTGTCAGTCTGTGACTAGGATCTTCTGGATTTCACTGTCCTATTCTCATCACCACTAGCTGGATTTTTGACTTGAGCAGGTGGTGTTTTCTCAAAAACTCAAAGATGTCTGTGTGGGATTTCTTTTAAAGTGGGGAGACTGGTGCATAAAAATCACCACACTGTCCTTGACTGATAAAGGGCAATGGCATGGACACCATGATTGGAGATCCTCTATCTGTTGCTGCCTTCATCTGTCTTCACAGCCACTGAAACATTACACAACACTTTCAACTCCATTGTGCAGTTATCCTCTGTCTATCCTCTCCATGGATCATCACCTTGCAGTGGTGGAGAGGCTTGTGTGTTCTAATGACCCCAAGAGCAACTTCCTTAGGGTCCCTTATGGCAGAACGGTCAAGGGCGAGGCTCCAGACAAAGTGTGATCCAAGAATGCACAAAAAATGGGAGTGTTCTAGTGAAATTTGCAGATGCTACGAAGTTGGGAGATATTGTCATAATATTACATAAAAAGAGTTGAAGTGATAGAAATTAGATGAAATTCAATAGTACAAAGTGCACTTATGGCCTAAAAATAAGGATATCTGCTTCAAGCTGGCGTCTCATCAGTTCGAAGCAACAGAGGCTATTAGAGACTTGGGAGTATGGATTGATCTCAGGATGACGTGTGATCCATCAGTCTGATGAAGCTGTGAGGCTTGGGGGTTTTTGGAGGAGTTTTTTTACTTCTCACTTGTGTGGTCCCCAACTGATTTTTCTGTGGGTCAGTGACTCCTGACCCAGAAAAGGTTCCCCACGCCTGCCATACACAAGAAAACATTTAAACTTTTTGTGCTGGACATAAATTAATATTTTACTTTATTTAAAATGCAGTTTGCTAAATTAACATGAGAGAGTTAAAATGCTTCATCTGTTTTATAATTTAAATTAAACTGTTCTCATTAGCTGCAGTTGGTTCAGAAAATATGGTTACTATACCCAGCCTGCTCCTGCCCCTCTCATCCTCCTGGCACACAGATCCGTGAATTATTTAAATCTTGGCACAACACTTCTGAAAGCTTGCCAACCCTTGCTCTCATCTTTCCATCCATGTGCAGAATAATTTTATATGCACTGAAGCATGTGTGAATATGTACCACCAACAGAAACAAAACCTAGTTGTGAGCACTCTTCTAATCAGCTGGGCAGCATCTGAATCTCTCCTGATGGCTACACAAGCACACAGCTTGCAGGAAACACTGGTGGTGGGTGGGTGGTGAATAGGGATGTAAAAAAATATATATATAAAAATATTAACCATGTAACCAATAAAAAAAATCTGTTGGTTACATGGTTAACCTTGGGGCTCAGCTGCCAGCTTCCAGCCCCAAAGGCCTGCTGCTCCTGGCCCCGGGGGGCTGCCCGCTCCTGGTCCCCAACCCCATGGAGCTTCCAGTTCCTGATCCACGGCCCCACATTGCTGTCAGCTCCCAACTTCTGGACCCATGGGGCTGTCAGGCCTGGCCTGGCCCACGGTACAGGGGGCTTGGCCAGGCTGGGGCAGCTTGGATGCCGGTTAACCAGCTGCCTGATAAGCATTATCCTTACCAATTTACATCCCTAGTAAGCAGGCTCTGGAACAGCCTCCCAGTAGGAGTTGTGGGGGCAAACAACTGAACTAAGCGGCCTGAAAATAAGCGGCCGAACAGCTCTTGCGCAAGAGGGGGTTTTTGCGCAAGAAGGAGCAGTCTAGACTGCTCCTTCATGCGCAAAAGCCCCTTGTGCAGAAATGGCAGCTCAAGTGTGCAAATGAGGCATGACAATATTCATCGCCATGCCTCATTTGCATATGTTCTTGCGCAAGAAAGTGCAATGTAGACGTAGCCTATGACTTTAAGTAAGAGATGCAGACTGAAACAGAAATGCACTCATCACCAAAACCCAAAGTTATACCCATCCTTAAAGCAGGAAAATATTGTTTTCAGAACTATCGTATCTCATTTCATCATGCACGCCCTGGCTCTTGAACAGGGCCTACCAAAAGATGGTCACAATTTGCCTTTCATTGCTTGTGATATTATTCTGTTAATATGGAAAAAAATCATATTGAATCTGGTGGTTTAGAGCTGAAACTATAAGCACTTGTTAAGGCTGGACAAATTCACTTTGAACAACTCAATCATGATCTCTATAATATCAGTCTTTTTATTGTTCAGTCAAAGAAGAGTCTTTCCTTGTAGATATAACACAACAAAACTGACTCTTATGAATCGGTGTATTTATTTTTTCAGATTACAAGCAAAAGTAAGGAATCCATATGGGAATTCATCAAGAGTTTGTTGGATGCCTGGTCAGGATGGGTTGTAATGCTTCTCATAGGACTGCTGGCAGGTATGTGCACAATAGTAGAAGTGTTGTGTCCGGCACACACTCGCAATTTTCCAGAGCCGTCTGTTTATTTTCCTTTCTTTATCTGGTCCCCAACTCTTTGAGATGGATGAGATAGAGACAATTATGCACCCACACTGTTTTAATGCTTCACTTGTAAAGTTTCACACGAGGGTACGTCTACACAGCAGTGCTATTTCAGGATAACATCTGTTATTCTGAAATAGCATTCTGTGCATCTTAACAGCAAGCCTATTGTTTCAAAATACATTTGAAATAAAGGGCTTGTTATTCCAATGTCCCATAAACCTTGTTGCACGAGGATTAAGGGACTTGTCGGAATTGTGCGTTATTTCGAAATTAGTGCTGTTAGACGGTGCCAAATTTTGAAATAGGCTAGCTCGAAATAAAATAAGCTATGCAATTCACATAGCTCAAATTGCGTAGATTATTTCAATCTATGCGCTACCATATAGACATACCCTGAGTGATGACCTAAAAACATTATTTCTAACAAGTAATGTGATTTCAGTATTGCTTTTGAAATCATGCCTCTGAGTGGAAATGCCTTACCCTCTTGATGAACCATTTTGATTATCTTAGCATCTGATTCACACGTTCCTTTCTTGATCTTGGTGAATTTAATTCCATGGAAAGGCAAAGCGTGCTGGTAGAGTACCTTGAAAATGTAGTTCTCTAATACATTGTAGATTCATTCAATGCACTAGATTAATTGTAAACCAGGTTATCTCTTTATACATTCCTGGGCGGGAGAGGCGGGGAAGACCTGACACACAACCAGTTTCAGACTGACTTCCAGATCTGTTCACAAACCAGTCAGGCATTATATATTTAAAAACAAACTCAGATGGGAAATTCATTAATTTCCTGAGTTGCTCAAGTGGAGCTTGTCTTCAAGTTTGGAAAGCTGCATTCATGTTGCCAACTTAAAACAGAGGCCTTGAATAGTTTTTATGCTGTCTCAGTTCTGTCAAGATGATTGACTGCTAGATCACAACATGGTGCAAAGATTTACAAACCATGTTCTCATCAAAGCTAGTGTGTATCTCCTAGCTTAATAAGTGCAAAGTTAGTACATCTAATAGTATTGTGTAGAACTATGAAAGCTGTTTTGGAGCATTATGGCTAAAAATAGCTGAAGCATTTTTGTTGAGGTGAAATTTCGGCAAAATATGCTGTTTCATAACACATAAATTTCCACAAAATTTTTGCTGGGAAGATGAGAGAGCAAGTGAAAGTGTGACTGACTCTAACTCTGAAGCCTGATGGTTTTGGGATCCAGCCTGCAATATAGGAAATGCAGGTTTAAGTCAGTGCTCTGCCTGATTTGGAGTGATTTGGGATGAATCAGGGTCTTGAACCTGTCTCTCCCACATTCAAAGCCAGTACCCCAATTACCCAGCCGTGCAATGAAACCATAGGCTCACTAGCTGAGTCAGAGTATGTCTACTCTACAAGGGTATTTCAAAATAAGTTATTTTGGAATAATTACTCCTGAAATAACTATTTTGAAATAGCATGTCCGCACTACAGGGAAGCCTCAAAATTAGTCTGAGGCAGGCTCTCCTAATGTGGACACGCTATCTCAATTTAGAGCCCCAGGAAGCACTAGGAAGTAATTACTTTGAATGGCCCTGGGGAGGAGCTATTGTGAAATAGCAGCACTGGAGTATCCACACTACTGCTATTTCGAAATAGACATCATTCCCCATGAAATGAGGGTTTATTATTCCAGAATACGAAGCTTGTAATTTCAAAATAATTTTGAAATAACGGGCTTGATGTATGCACACTCATCTTGTTGTTTCAACATAACATGAGTTATTTTCAAATAACACTGTAGTGTAGACGTGCCCTCATTCCAATGTGAAACCAAACTATATTGAAACCTCAAAAGTTGATGGTAAATGGAATGGTTGTACTTCAGGTATGTCGGATGGGTATGCTGAGATTAGGCTGGAGCTAGTTAACACTTAATGTGTGTGCACCTTTTATCTCAGTCAGCTAAATTGAAATAATACATGGTATCCTGCACCCATGCTAGGGAAAAGGTTGTGGTTGGGTTGAGCTTAGTTAACAGATATTAATTATTCTCAAACATGCACTTTAGCCATTCTTTGTCTACTGTACATGACAGACAACATACAACAAATTTAATTCTGCCTTTCTAGGCAAATGTGCCTTCCAGTAACCCCTTTACCAAATTGGTCCATCCAAACACATCAGACTACCCCACAAGATTGTCCTGTGCATGCTTCATCACTATGGTGGCTTGATGTAGTAGACTTCCAATGTGACCCTAGGAACGCCATGCAGCCCTGATTTTTAATGGTGTTTAGGTGATGTTTCACTCAGCATTGCAAGGCCATGGGCATCTAGATGGCTAGATCCCATTTTCAAAAGAGCCTGTCTCACTGAAAGTCAGTGAAACTAGCCTGACTTTGCGTTGCTGCAGCTGTATCTCCCGTTGACTTCCTTAGAGTTGTGAGTTTTCAGCATGTAGTATAGAATTCAGGTTCAAGGTTTTCTGGCTCATAAGGCTCTACCTAACTAAACATCCCACAATACTTCCCAGGCAGGTCATTCAATCTTTCCATGTCTCAGTTTTCTTACCTAAAAAATAGGCCACATTTGTAGTACAGTGGAGTCCGGATTAACCGACACCTGGTAATCTGACACTCAGCTTTATCTGACCCTGCAGCTCCCGGGGACTTTTTCCCCGGGAGCTGCAGGGTTGGATACAGCGTGGGCCGAGAGAACGGCCCCGCTTGCTGCCTCGTCGCTCTCTAGGAGAAGCTGCTGCTGCTGCTGCTGTGGCCAATAGGCCACATTTGTAGTACAGTGGAGTCCGGATTAACCGACACCTGGTAATCTGACACTCAGCTTTATCTGACCCTGCAGCTCCCGGGGACTTTTTCCCCGGGAGCTGCAGGGTTGGATACAGCGTGGGCCGAGAGAACGGCCCCGCTTGCTGCCTCGTCGCTCTCTAGGAGAAGCTGCTGCTGCTGCTGCTGTGGCCGGGCACCGGGAGCGGCAGCAGCAGCAGCTTCTCCAAGAGAGCAAGGGAACAACTGATGCTGCTCCTGCGGGGGACGTTCCCCACAGGAGCAGCATCAGTTGTTCCCTTGCTCTCTAGGAGAAGCTGCCGCTGCCGCCGGGATGCTTCTATAACCCTTAGATCTCTTTCCATAGTACTCCTTCATAGGCAGTCATTTCCCATTTTGTGTATGTAATGGATTGTTTTGTCCTAAGTGGAGTTCTTTGCATTGTCCTTCTTGAGCTTCCTCCTATTTACCTCAGACCATTTCTCCCAGTTTGTCCAGATCATGTTTATCAGTAGGAGCTTTTTCAGAAAATCATAGAGCTTATTATAAACTCACCGAGCTAGGCAGATTGAGGTGAATAGCATTATCGTGATTTACACCGACTCAGAATATGGCCCACTGTTTCCGTAGAAACTTGAGCAACCAGAAATGACAAGCCACACACACACAAACAAAACGAAAAATCATACACTTTAAAAAAAGAAAACACTTGGATTGCTGCACCAGTTTCCCCCTTTGTTTCTCTAGTAATCTCATAGACCTCTCATTGGCATATCTGTATTTTCCTTGGCTGTGTCTACACTGGGCCACTTATTCCGGAAAATCAGCCACTTTTCTGGAATCGCTCTACTGTACAAAATCAGACGCTATTCCGGAAAAACTGTTCTGCTCCCGCTCAGGCATAAGTCCTTATTCCAGAACACTGTCGCGGAAAAGGGCCAGTGTAGACAGCCCAGTAGTCTTTTCCGGAAAAAAGCCCCGATCGTGAAAATGGCGATCGGGGCTCTTTTCCGGAAAAGCATGTCTACATTGGCCACAGATGCTTTTCCGGAAAAAGGTCTTTTCCGGAAAAGCAGCCTGCCAATGTAGATGCTCCTTTCCCAGAAAAACTGAAAACAGAATAGTATTCTGTTTTAAGCAGTTCCGGAAATTCATGCCAGTGTAGACACAGCCCTTGAGTTTGGAAAGAGGTTCTTCCCATATACCGTATTGTGAAATTCTTCATTGGTATCATATGGCCTTATAGCAGTGACAAGCATTATCTCTCTTAATGTGACAATAAATATGATGTCCTTATGAAGATATTGCAAAACCTTTCAGTTGTCTTTAAAGCGTTGTTTTTCAGTTTAACTTTTTAATACAATCTTAATAGTTTTTCAGGGACAACATCTTAGAGACACCTGTGTAGAATAAGTAAAAAATAAGTACAGTAGAACTTCAGAGTTACAAACACCTCAGGAATGGATGTTTGTAACTCTGAAATGTTCATACCTCTGAACAAAATGTTATATTTGTTCTCTTGAAAGTTTACTGCTGAACATTGGCTTACTGCAGTTTTGAAAGTTTATTATGGAAAAGAAAAATGCTGCTTTTAACCATCTTAATTTAAATTAAACAGATTTCTTACTTTGTCAAATCTTTTGTTAAAATGTCCCCACCTTTTTTTTAGTACATTTAACATAGAACTGTACTGTTTGCTTTTTTCTGTCTGTCTCTGCTGATGCCTGATTGCATCCTTCCAGTTCCAATGGGATGTATGATTGACCAGACAGTTTGTAACTCTGAGCCTCTACTGCACGCCATTTGGTGGAAGACAGGCTATCACAGTATCATGCACTCATGCAAAATGCTAAAGTGACTTTTTTGTTGTCACAATACTAGAGCTATGGCAGATTATGATATTTGATTAGGAATAATATAGGAAAGTTAAGATCTTCTTTGGGAATCCACAGCATGCTCAAGCATCGTTCGACCACTGGATGTCACTATTATGCTGTATAATTATTTGAAAAGTCTGGCTCCTGCAGTGATGGATGAAGCTCATACAGAAAATATTTTAAGGATGTGTTTTTTCTTGGCCTTGAATTACTATTAAATACTATTACATATCTTGAATGACTATTAAAGACTAAATTGTAGTCCCATTGATTTGAATGACTAAACTATCATATGATTCAGTAAATCAGGATTGGGCTTTAACTTTTTTTATTACTTAAATTGCTCTTATGAAAAAATCTGTGTACTGGAACCAACAAAAATATGTGTCCATGCATGCACATCCACCCCTTCCTTCATCTACCATGTGGAACAATTTCCCTGATATATTGATTACTATGCATGCGTGAAGTCCATTAACTTCACTGATACTCCAGAAGTCAAATATCATGCTGGCATCAATCAGATTGCAGGATTGGGCCCTGTGTTTGTATTTGGAATGTGATGTCCCATTTTATCAGAGCCAAGATTAGAATCACGGTGATAAAAAGAAGCGTTGCACAGTAAAACATGGAAGATGAGAGGATATTTTTGGAGACGCTCAGTTCTTTCCTACTAACTCATAGTTGTCCAGTCTAATTATTTGGATCATGTGTTTTGTTTCAATATAATTAAATTAATATGTGTTCCACTTAACTTTTTTTATTTCCTGATCTTTTTTTCAGGCACGTTAGCTGGAGTTATAGATTTAGCTGTAGACTGGATGACAGATCTTAAAGAGGGTGTCTGCTTATCTGCATTCTGGTACAGCCATGAGCAGTGCTGCTGGACATCTAATGAAACCACATTTGATGACAGGGACAAATGTCCCCAGTGGCAGAAATGGTCCGAGCTTCTAGTAAACCAGTCTGAGGTATGCAAGACGTGGTTAGGCTGGGGAATGGGAAATACTAACCATCCCAGGAATATTCTTTTCTCCCCTCTCCTCTGTAACATTCCCTTTAGTTTGTCCCCTCTCTCACCCAGTATAGACACTTATGTGCTGCAATATTGTAACCATAGGCTTCCACAAACATTTTCTGCATAGCCTGTTATAAGGCCCAGGTCATGTGCACACACACACTACAGAGACCAAGTCAGTGAGACTGGGGAAATCTCTTCATTGTATTCTTACCAGAATAAAAGAATGATCTGATAACTAGATTGGGGTAGACAAGTAGTATATTTGCTTAAAAATGCAGTTATGGCTAATCTGAAACCATTCATAAATTTGACAAATTAGGTTAGCCTGTTATAAGGCCCAGGTCATGTGCACACACACACTACAGAGACCAAGTCAGTGAGACTGGGGAAATCTCTTCATTGTATTCTTACCAGAATAAAAGAATGATCTGATAACTAGATTGGGGTAGACAAGTAGTATATTTGCTTAAAAATGCAGTTATGGCTAATCTGAAACCATTCATAAATTTGACAAATTAGGTTCAGCTTATAAAATGTGGTGTTGGGGGGGGGGGGGGGGGAGGAGAGCTAGCTCTCTCTCTCTCTCTCTCTCTCTCTCTCTGTGGAGAACAGAGTTATGGGAGTATTTTCCAGGTGCAATTAAAAAAAAATTGACATTTGCTGCAATCTCATCCATTCAGAGAGGGAAAGAAGTGTTTTGGATTCATTCCTATGGGCGTGTGGGATAAGTCGTCTTTATCTTGAGGGATTTAGCAGAATAAATAAAGGTTTGATTCCATCAGGCAGAACACCATAACCGTCACTTCATTTGGTAGTAGAATTTTAACCTGGAACTCCATATAGTATCTAAGAACCCCGTTATCACTGCACAGCTACAGCGTCGCCATTCTAAACAGTAACCCCAAAGCAGTTGGTTTAGATTTACATTAAAAAGCATGCTGGACTGCACTGTCTGTGGACATGCATTCCAGAGTTGTTGTCTCACTAACTTCACCGGAACTTGTGTGTATGTGCTGCACTCTTACATAACAAGCAGGAATCTCTCATGTAGAGTGAGTGATACACAATTAGATGACTTTTGCATGGTATTTCAACTGTCTTAGTATCTATAGACTAGTAGTTGTTTCTTAATAGCATTAAAGAAACATTGTCCCAGACTAAATTACTAAACTGGGCTGAAGTTGTAGTGTATTAGAAATTTCCTCGATGGAGAAGATGTGGGAAGGAAAGGGGAGGGGAGAACATATACTTTATATAGACCATTATCTGGAGGAAATCTAAGGCAAGTCACTGATCTCTTGGAGGATGTAAACAGAAAACATCCTCAAGGATATTGCTTTTCCTCTTATGCACCAGAAACTCAACAGTCAGGTTTACTCTATTTTATGCATTGCAGTAAGCCTTACAGCTGGATGGGTTGCTTTGTTCTCATGTAGTTAATCCTCTCTCCATATTCAAGCTAAGTTTCTGATCATTATGGGTATTATTACAGTGAAATAACCTTTAGTTTGACCTGATTCTGGCAACTGCCCCAGACCAACAGAACTTCTAAGATCTGCAGTCATCTCCTGTCTTGCTGGCTGCTACAGTTAGTAGATCTAACTGCATTAATGTTGTTGTTGTACAATGGTAGCTCCTAGAGTCTTGGAGCAGGGATCACGGCTCCACAGGAAATGTATACATGCACAACAGAAGGTCAGTCCTACCCTTGTACAACTCCGCAGGCTTCCCAAAGCCTTAGAACTTCTAAGAACAATCAAGATTGATTTTAATTACAATCGGTACAGAGAGATTTTTTTTGTTCCCATTCATAAGTTACTACCCCTTGCACAACACATCCAAACAACTGGCACAAGCACAGTGAAAAGAGCAGGGTTGTCTTGAGAGTATATAAGGAGCAATTCAGAGAACATTTTACATAAAAAGATCTTGGAGGGTTTTTCCCAAATGTAATCTGTTCAGACTTTTATTTTATGCACAGCTGTGGCTCTGTGTATTGTATCTAACTGAATTTGACATTTTGGAGCTCTAGATGTAGATATATATTGTTTGCAAATCATTTTTTCCCTGTGGTTTTGAGCATTATTGCTGCTTATAGCCCCTTAAATATGTGGCCACTCTGAATTTTGACACATCCTATGGGATCTGCCACTATTGTTTTAATTATAGTCTTTCCATGAAACCTCACCCCCTCCCAAAAGAGAGCACATGAAAATAAATCATGCTATGCATAAGGCTATGCTTTAGTCATGGGTATTTTTAGTAAAAGTCATGGACAGGTCACAGGCAGTGAACAAAAATCCGTGGCCCATGACTTGCAATGGGGAAGGAGGGCCTGGATATTCAAAAGGGCTCAGGGACTGCAGCTGCCACTCC